CAGATAAGTGAATACTCAGCTAATATGCAGAAGCCAACCCCTTCTCCATATGCCAATTACAAGCATCCAATCTTTGCACAAGCCCTCCGACCTTCTAAAGCAGGAATGACAACATTTCTGTTCCCTTCTCAGTTTTGCTGATGGCACAACTCCCTTCCCAGACTTGGATCATTTGAATCGCCCAACAAAACCTGATTGCAGCGACAAAAGAAATTTTAAGAAGGGGAGATAGAGATAAAAAGAACAAATGTGCAAAGACTTTGAGAAGACCAAGCAAACTCTGAACTGCTAAGCTCACAGGAAGTCACATACATGCATCAGCAACCAGACCTGGTTCTCAGCAATCCCTAGAGTAAAGTACTTTTAAAAGGGGTGGTGGAGGGGAGGAATTAAAACAATACACACACACACACACATCTTTTGGTACAAGCTGGAAGGTGTCCATAGGAGGGCAACTAAAATGATCAAAGGTCTGCAGTTCATGCCTTAAAGAGCTGGGTATGTTTAGCCAGAAGAGAAGGTTGAGAGGAGACATGATAGCCATGGATAAAAATGTGAAAGGATGTCATAAGGAGGAGGGAGCAGGCTTGTTTTCTGCTGCCCTGAAAACTAGGACTGGGAACAATAGGTTCAAATTACAGGAAAGAAGAATCCACCTGAATATTAGAAAGAGCTTCCAGAATGTAAAAGCTATTCAGCAGTGGAACTCTCTGTCTTGGAGTGTGGTGGAAGCTCCTTCCTTGGAAGCATTTACACAGAGGCTAGATGGCCATCTTTCAGGGGTGCTTTGATTGTGCTTTTCCTGCATGGCAGAGGATTGGACCATTCTATGTGTCTATAATTCTATAAGACCAAGCAGATTCTGAGACAAATAGCTAACAGGTGGTGACATAACATGATTCAGCAATAAGACCTGGCCCCTAGAAATCCAGAGAGAAAGAGATTTTTTAAAAAAGTGTATGTGTGTGAAAGAAATAAACATGCAACAAATTTGATAAGACCAAGCAGATTCTGAGATGAATAGCTTACAGGTGGTCACATATATGCTTCAGCAACAGGACCAGATGGGTTCTAGAGACCCTGAGAAAAATATTTTTTTAATTTATTTGTTTAAAGGGTAGGTAAAGGAATTAATATATGCATTTGTATTTTGTTCTGTGTGTATGTATGTGTGTGTGTGTGTGTATAATATATATATATATATCAGAACGTAAAGGTTTCCCCTGACATTAACTCTAGTCGTCTCCGACTCTGGGGGGGGGGGGGGGGGGGGGGTGCTCATCTCAATTTCTAAGCCGAAGAGTAGATGTTGTCTGTAGACTGCCTGGAGCGTCACCTATTGATCTACTCACATTTGCGTGTTTTTGAACTGCTAAGTTGGCAGCAACTGAGGCTAATAGCAGGAGCTCACTCTGCTTCCCGGATTCAAACTGCCAACCTTTTGTTGAGCCAATTCGGGGGGGGGGGGGGGGGGGGAGGTGTCCAAAAAAGAAAAGTGGGTAGATAAAAGAAATGAACAGGCAACTAATCTGGTAGGACCAAGCAGACACTAAACTGAAAAGCTCACAGGTGGTCACACATCCATCCGACCCATGCTTCAGCACCTGCTGTTCAACATCAATCTGACTCCTCACTCCTTCTAAGCAGTTGCTTTGGGAGACAGGGCTAACCCCCACCCCACCCCGCTACTAAAACAGAAGGGAGTGGGCGATTAAGGATGCAGAGTCTCGGAAAGGGCGGCGGCCGGCTCCATCACGACACCCAACTGCCCTCCCCACAAATCAGGGCTGCCTGTCATCATCAGCCTCCAGACTGAGAGGAGACGAGCAAAGGCAGCCTCAGTCCCAGAATGCGGGAAGTAACGGTCTCCGAGAGGAATCCCAACCTCTCCAACTCCCAGCAACAGGGCAGACAACAAAACCGCACAACAAGGCGGCCGAGTGCTCAGGCACACATGCACAAACCAAGAGACACATACAAACCCAAGTCGCCGCCTGGTGCTTCAATCTCAGCCCTGATCACCCCCTCAACGGGGCGAAGGAGCGTCTACAAAAACATAAAAAGGGTTGCCAGGCTCCAGACCCACACTGCCCACTCGTGAGGAAGGGAAAGAGCCGCCCATCAGTGAAAACGCCCCCTTACTATCGGGATATGGCGCCCAAAGAGGGGAGCGACCGACATTCCTCGGAAAAGCCATATCTTTCTCCGCCTCCACGCCCCCTTAATCAACTTCGACGAAGTCCACGAGAGAGAGAGAGGGAGGCACAAAACACGGCGCTGACCTCTTCTGACGGACAGATACACATACGCACACGCACACCCCTCGCATGCACCCGCGAGAACGCCCCCAAGCACACTCCCCACAGAGACATGGCGCCCAAAGAGGGCAGCAAGCGACAATCCTCGGAAAAAGTCCCTCGGGGTCTTCTTCTATTTCACCCGCCTGCTCTCCGCCCCACATTGGCCAAGTTTGGCATAGTCCACGGGAGAAAGGGTGGGGGAGGGAGGGGAAGACGCAAAACACGCGTATGGCCCCTTTAAATGCACAACAGGCACACATTTCATCTCACTAGGCCGGCGAAAGCGCGGATAATTAGGGCAGCGACGGACATTCCTTGAGTGTTTTGTCTTGTTATGGTTGCCCCCCCCCCCCCACACACACACACACAGTTCCCGGACACTCGACTTGGTTAATGTTTCAGCTCCCTCTCAGCATTAACCAAGTTTGACCGAGTCTTTAAAAGGGGGGAGGGGGGCCGCCGGAGAGAAAACACGAGACACCCAACAGACCCACGTTCAGACGAACAAGACACACGCGCGCCTCGCGTTCAGGCCGTCCAAACAGGGCAGCAACCGACATTCCTCGAGAAAACTCCCTCAGGCCCCCTTCCTTCCACACAGCTGAATCAAATCCCACATTTTCTGCTTTGAACTGGAATATATGGCAGTGTGGACTCAGGGCTCTTCCACACAGCCATATATCCCAGAATATCATGTTAGGAACTCCCACAATATCTGCTTTGAACTGAGTTATCTGTGGCCCCTTCCACACAGCTGAATAATATCCCACATTATCTGCTTTGAACTGGGATATATGGCTGTGTGGATATTGTGGGATTTTCTGCCTTGATATTCTGGGGGCCCTTCCACACAGTCACTTAATCCAGAATATGAAGGCAGAAAATCCCACAATATCTGCTTTGAACTGGGTTATCTCTGTTCACACAGCCATATATCCCAGTTCAAAGCAGATGTGGGATTTTATTCAGATGAGTGGAAGGGCCCTCAGTCTCTCAGTTTACTCCTTCCCACATTAGCCACGCTTATTTTTTTTTTTTTTTTTTTTGGGGGGGGGAGGACAACGGAAGACATCAAACACACAACTGACCCTTTTCAGACAAGCAACCAATCCAGGGTGGGCCAAAAGGAGTCCTAAATAGATTGTATACAGCACAGTGGTTTCAGGCACCAATAGGACCCTTCCACACAACTCTATATCCCAGAATATCAAGGCAGAAAATACTACAATATCTGCTTTGAACTGGGCTATCTGCTTGTAAGTGGATTATCTGAGCCCCCTTTTATACAGCTGAATAAAATCCCACATTATGTGCTTTGAACTGGATTACATGGAAGCGTGGACTCAGATAACCCAGTTCAAAGCAGATATTGTGGGATCCACTGCCTTGATAGCCTAGGGGTCCTAACACATAGCCATATAACCCAGAATATCAAGGCAGGATAGCCCACAGTATCTGCTTTGAAGAGTTATCTGAGGGCCTTACCACACAACTGACCAAAATCCCACATTATCTGCTTTGAACTGGATTATATGGCACTGTGGACAGCCATAGTTCAAACCAGATATTGTGGGGTTTTCTGCCTTGATATTCTGGGTTATATAGCTGGGTATACTGTAGATCAGGCACTGGCCAACTTGCGCCCTCCAGGTGTTTTGGACTTCCTTTTCCCCCTCAGCTGCTTAAGCAAAGGGATCTGAGGCTTTGAACTGGATTACATGGCACTCAGATAACTCAATTCAAAGCAGATAATGTGGGATTTCCTGCAATTCCCTTGAGGAAAAGTAAAGGGCCTGAGGCTGCTAGGAATTGTGGGAGTTGAAGTYCAAAACACCCGGAGGGCCATAGTTGGCCCATGCCATCTATCTATCTATCTATCTATCTATCTATCTATCTATCTATCTATCTATCTATGTCTCCTTCCACACAGCTGAATAAAATCCCAAACTATCTGCTTTGAACTGGGATATCTGGGTCCACATTGACATTTAATCCAGTTCAAAGCAGATAACGTGAGATTTTGGTCAGCTGTGTGGATGGGCCCTCAGATAACTCTCTTCAGAGCAGATATTGTGGGCTATTCTGCCTTGATATTCTGGGTTATATGGCTGTGGAAGGATATCCAGACAGTGGATCCCACAATATCTGCTTTGAACTGGGTTATCCGAGTCCACACTGCCATGTAATCCAGTTCAAAGCCTCAGATCCCTTTGCTTGAGGGGGAAAAAGAAGTCCAAAACACGTGGAGGGCCCAAGTTGGCCTATGCCTGAGCTTTAGTATACCCAGCTATATTTTCCCTGAGGGGAAAAGGAAGGGGCCTGAGGCTGCGAGGAATTGTGGGAGTTGAAGTCCAAAACACCTGGAGGGCCCGGGTTGGCCCGTGGCTGCTCTGCACACAGATCCACGAGAGGCCCACCCGCCTCCAAGCTGTGTTTCCCCCCCTTTCTCCGTTCTCCCCGCTTGAATTCCGCCTCCCTCCGCTTCCCGCGGGTCAAACATTAACCGTCGCCTTCCTGAGGGGAGAGCGCGGCCTCCTCCCCCTCTCTCTCTCCTCCGAACTTCCCCCAAGTTTTCCCCCAAGTCCCGCCCGCCTTTCCCCGCTTTCTTTCAGGCTCGGCTCTGAGGGGAAACTGGTTTGGTCCGGAGAAGAGGAGGAGGAGGATGGGGCAAAACTTTCGCTCTCTCTCTCTCTCACTCACCGCAGCAGAGTCGGGAGAGGAGCAAGCCGAGCGACAGCCAAGCGGAGTGGGAGGGACAGCAGCGAAGGCAGCGCCTCGGCCACCGCCTCGACAGGCAGAAGGGGCGCCCGGGAGGAGGAGGAGGAGCAGGAGGAGGAGGAAGAAGGGCATCCATGCTGTGCCGGAGGGAGGCTTCTCCTTCCCCGTCGCCGCCGCCGCGACGAAGACCTCGGCTCCGCTCCCCGCCAGCGCCGGCTCCGTGTGTCACAGTGCGAGGAGGCGCCGCGCCCGCCGCCCCGCCCTCTATCGGAACGGCGCGTACCATTCCGCCGCCGGGGGGAGGGGGGGCACCACACTGGACATTCACTCACATGCTCACTCCCTCGCGTGCTAATAACCCACTCCAATTTCTTTAACCCTTTCTTTTGCTTTGGCCACACAATACGAGCTGGACATCGCGGGGTGTTGAAGGGGTGTTGAAATGCCTTCTCTCTTCCTCCCCCCCGCGTTCTGAGACATATTGGAACGTCCCACTTCTCCTCCTCCTCCTCCTTTGACTCCCCCTCCCCTCCCGTTTGCAGCGGGTTGTGGGAAAAAGGAATCTCTGCTTCTCATTGTCTTCTTCCCTTCCTTCTTCGCCCACTTTTGAGGGTGTCTTTGGCTCCTCTCGCCTTTTGTTTTCCTAGCCCGCTTTTTGCGCTTCTTCTCCACTTTTGGGGCATTTATTCCAATTCACTCTCTGCGCCTTTGCTCGCCTTCCCTTTTCTCCTTTCACGCGTGGATCTGCTGCCAACACGCGTGGGTATCCTCCCACCGGCTCAAAAGAAACGCTCCCAACTCACTCTCTGGGAAGTCAACCCGCGCCTTTGCTCGTCCTCCACTTTTCTCCTTCCACGCGTGGATCCGCCGCCAACCCGCGTGGGTATCCTCCCACCCGTTCAAAAGGAACGCTCCCAACTCTCTGGGAAGTCAACCCGCACCTTTCCTCGCCTTCCACTTTCTCCTTCCACGCGTGGATCTGCTGCCAACCCGCGTGGGTATCCTCCCACCGGCTCAAAAGGAACGCTCCCAACTCACTCTCTGGGAAGTCAACCCACACCTTTGCTCGCCTTCCCTTTTCTCCTTCCACGCGTGGATCTGCTCCTAATACGCGTGGATATCCTCCAACCGGCTCAAAAGAAACGCTTCCAACTCACTCTCTAGGAAGTCAACCCGCGCCTTTGCTCGCCTTCCACTTTCTCCTTCCACGCGTGGATCCGCCGCCAACCCGCGTGCGTTTCCTCCCACGCACGAATCCAGGTAGAAGATTGTGAAGAAGATAAAAAAGGACCTCACAACCTCTGAGGATGCCTGCCATAGATGCAGGCGAAACTTCAGGAGAGAATGCTTCTGGACCATGGCCAAAACAGCCTGAAAGGCTTACAGCAACCCAAAGAGGACTTTATTGCCTATGTGTGTTGACAGGCAGAAGATTGTGCAGAAGGGGGGGGGGGGAGACACTTTATTTCCTATTGTCATTTTTTACCTACCAATCATCATCACCAAAACAAAAGGAGCTTCCTCATCTTCTCCAGCATCTTCATCCTCATTGCCTATGTTTTGCCATGGCTTCCAATACCCACTGGAGACCAGAGGAGTGCTTAACCATGCCATTCAAAGTCTGAAGGGATGTGTTCCTTTGGCATCTTGGAATTGGCTGCGTATTAATGATGATGATAGTGTGGAATTACAGGGATTTGGTCCAGAGGGAAGAACTGTTGAAGAAGAATAAGGAAAAGAATGTGACTAACTTGCCAAACGTAGAAAGGTGGCAGTCATTGGACTGGGTTGCTGTGAGTTTTCAAGGCTGTCTGGCCATGTTCCAGAAGCATTCTCTCCTGATGTTTCACCTGCATCTATGACAGGCATCCTCAGAGGTGGGTTTATGTATCTGTGGAAGGTCTAGGGTGGGAGAAAGAACTCTCATCTGCAATTGGCCACCTTGATTACCATTGAATGGCCTTGCAGCTTCAAAACCTGTCTGATTGCTCCTTTGTTGGGAGGTGTTAGCTAGTCCTGATTGATTCTTAATTGGAAACCATGAAAATAAACAAAAATTGGCAACTAGTATTTAAAAAAACCCTCTAAAACCAGGACAGTAAATAAACAAAAACATTCAAAACAGAGGAATTCCAGACACGAAACAATCAGGGCCAGCAAACACCTCCTAACAAAGGTTTCCCTCAGCCAGGAATCAGCCAAGCTTTGAAGCTGCAAGGCCATTCAATGCTAATCAAGGTGGCCAATTGCAGATAAGAGTTCTTTCTCCTAATCAAGGTGTCCAGTTGCAACATTCACACTTGTCTCCAACAGACAAGAGTTCTTTCTCCCACCCTGGACATTTCACAGATATATAAACCTCACTTGCCTAGTTTCCAACAGATCTTGCAACCTCTGAGAATGCCTGCTGTAGATGTGGGCAAAATGTCAGGAGAGATTGCTTCTGAAACATGGCCATACAGCCCGGAAAACTCAGAGCAATCCAGTGATTCCAGCCATGAAAGCCTTCAACCACACATAGTCATTGCACTATTCAATATAATTATCCACAAACTTTACAGCTGGCAAAAGATCCTGACATGTGGCAGTTGCACTTCCGTATTCACAGAAGAGATTGAGGAATGAGGACTTTGAGTGACATTGCAAGCTATGTATCATGTCATCGTTCCTTCTTTGCAGCCTTTTCCTGTAAGGGGTGAACACTTATTTTCTTCCTGCTTCTCCTTCCTGTGTTTTTTTTCCCCCTCCCTCTCCTAATGGTGTGGGCATTTGCCCTCTGCTACCAACCAGGCTGCAGCAAAACTCATTTTGCAACCTCCGTGAGAGATGTGAGAAGAGAGCAAGCTCTTGCATTGTGGAGAAAAAAATTATTAGAGCCGGCATCAGGGGAAAAGGAGCGGTGTATCATGTTCCAAGTCCTCTTAGCCAATCAGATGTCCTTTGCAAATGATGGGTTGGGAGATGAAGGGAGGATGGAAAGATGGTTATGCACAAGTACTTCTGTGTGGTACAGGTTGAGCATCCCTTCTCTGAAATACTTGGGACCAGAAGCATTTTGGATGGTTTTGGTTTCAGATTTTGGAATACTTGTATTTGCATATGCATACATAATGAGATCTCTGGGAGATGTGACCAAAGCCTAAACACGAAATCCATTTATGTTTCATATACACCTTATATAGTGTAGTTTTATGCAATATTTTTTGATGATTTTGAGCACAAAACAAAGTTTGTGTACATTGAATAATCAAAAAGCACAGGCTCAGTCACTCCTGTGAACAACTGGATCATTGGGAGGCTTTAGATAAGGGATGCCCAACTTACATCAAATGTGTTGCTAGCATATACTAGGAGTGCATCTACACTGTAGCATTAATGCAGTTTGACACCATTTTAATTGCCATGGTTCAATACTATAGGAACTTGGGATTTCTGGTTTGGTGAAGCACCAGCACTCTTTGGCAGAGAAGGCTAAAGACCTTGTGGAACTACAACTCCCATGATGCCTTAGCATTGAGCCATATCAGTTAAAGTAATGTCACACTGCATTCATTCTACAACAAGTATGGGCGAACTTCAGCCTTCCAAGTGCTGTTACAATTAGTGGGACTTGTAGTCCAAAATACCTGGAGGGCCCAAGTTTGCCCATGCCTGTTCTAAAATGTAGATGTACCCTAGGAGCTTGATTCTGCAGTACTTCTGCAAGATACTCCACTTAGGCAGAAAAACTGAAATGCAAAGATACAGAATGAGGGACACCTGGCCCAACAGCAGTATGGGTGAAAAAGATCTTGGCGTCCTCGTGGACAACAACTTAAACATGAGCCAACAATGTTATGTGGCGGGGGGAAAAAAGCCAATGTGATTTTGCATAAATAGGAGTATAGTGTCTAGATCCAGGGAAGTCATGTTACCCCTTTATTCTGCCTTGGTCCGACCACACCTGGAATGCTGTTTCCAATTCTGGGCACCACAATTGAAAGGAGATGTTGACAAGCTGAAATGTGTCTAGAGGAAGGCAACTAAAATGATCAGGGGTCTGGAGATCAAGCCCTATGAGGAGCGGCTTAAAGAGCTGGGCATGTTTAGCCTGCAGAGGAGAAGGCTGAGAGGAGACATTATGAGAGCCATGTATAAATATAAATGTCACAAATAAATAAATAAATAAATAAATGAGGGGAAGTCATAGGGAGAAGGGAGCAGACTTGTTTTCTGCTTCCCTGGAGACTAGGACACAGAACAATGACTTTAAACTACAGGAAAGGAGATTCCATCTGAACATGAGGAAGACCTTCCTGACTGTGAGAGCTGTTCAGCAGTGGAACTCTCTGCCCCAGACTGTGGTGGATGCTCCTTCTTCGGAGGCTTTTAAACAGAGGCTGGATGGCCATCTGTTGAGAGTGCTTTGAATGCAATGTTCCTGTTTCTTGGCAGGGGGTTGGACTGGATGCCCCACGAGGTCTCTATGGTTCTATGATTCTACTTAACTATTCATGTAGGGTCCATTCAAATATATGAAAGACACCAGCATCTATTAAGACCCTTGGAAGAAAGCTGCCAATGTAATATCACTGTTGGTGCCTTTGCTTTGGAACTGAATACAAAGACGTGTGTGAATAAATCACAATGTATACACACCTATCAGAGTTGTGCTTTTTGAAATATTAGTTTTCATTATACTAAATAAGGACTGAGTTCCACATTAAGAGAACACACTTAAATTAATGTCAGGAATGGTTAATTCAATGGAAGGAGTAAGAGATGATGGTATAACTTTCTTTCCGTAGCTAAGACAACAGCCTTCTTATTTGTATATATTCAGCAATAAAAAAGGCCAAAGCTTTCATCATAACTTTTTATAAAGCATTATTGTTCCGAAGTACACACATCTAAATTAAGATAGACAGCAAAAGATAGAAACACACATCCTTACACTGAAAGGAAAAGCAATTCTATTAATTCTCCCATTCCATGTCTTTATGAATAAGAACCATAGTGACATTTGAGTTTTCCTTTATAATAAAGGCTTACCACAACTCTCTGAGCTAGGTTGGGTTGGTGGCAATTATCAGTTACCCATGACCTTCATGGTCAAATGAGCATTCGAATCTGGGCCTCTCCAGTCCACTTATTGCTGTACTAGGTTTCTTATTAGGCTGTCTGATCTATAAACAATATCAGATGGTACTGGGATTAAATTCAAGCTATTTATTTAGCCATGCTTTTTTTGTACTTGCCCAAACGGTAATACATATTTTATCTACCATTGTAAAAACACTAATCATCTGCTACTGTTGTATT